GTTAATAATAATGTATCAATATTGGCTCATCAATTGTAACAAGTGTACTACACTAATGCAAGATATTAATAATAGGGGAAAATGGGGGTAGAGGGGTATATGGGAACTCATTACTTTCTGCTCAATTTTTCTATAACCTATAAGTGCCCTCCCCAAAATAAAGTTCATTAATTAAGAAAAAACAACACAAAAACTCAGCCATAAAGCCTACATAAGTGCTGCAAAATTTACTGACCTAATTATGATTTCCCTGAATCTCTGTAGGAAAAAATGCCACATGTGAATCACAGATCCTTTCTCTTTTTTTAATCCTTACCTAAGGATATGTTTACTGATTTGAGAGAGACAGGCGTGTGGAGCACGCACACGTGCAAAAGAGAGAGAGACAGAGAGAGACAGAGAGAGACAGAGATGTGAGAGAGAAATATCGATCAGTTGCGTCCCATATGCACCCTGACAGGGGATGGAACCCACAACCTGAGTATGTGCACTGACCAGGGATCAAACTTGCAACCTTTTTGTGTTCAGGATGACACTCTAACCAACTGAGCCACGGCAAGATCATTTCTTAAATGCAATAAAAAGCTATCACATGTTTAAGTGCCAAATGTCCATATGAATGATAAATATTTTTAAGCACTAAATATAATATATAATGTTATATAATATAATATAGATAACCATTGTAATATAATGCTCACTTAAAGAGGAAGCTGGGAAATATGGTCCTACTAACAAAGGTGGATCCCTTCCTGATTACATTTTAGGGCAAAAGTCTGACTTCTACTGTCAGTCAAAAGTCATTCTGAAACAAGCACAGTTGTTGACCACTGAGGAGCAATGAGCTCCCTGGCATAAGTGCCAATGTAGTTTAGCTTGAGATGGCTAGCTGTGTGAACTAAGCAAAAGCAGTTCACATCTCAGGGTCACCTTCCTCTCTGAGGGAATAAATGTACTGTGCCACCTCAGAGAGCAGTCTAAGCATCAGTGAATTACTATCTTATTGCCTTGTTGGAAAGCAATTAGTGGCAGTGATCAGAAGCATAAAATATTACCTACAGACATTAAATAAACTGCCCAAACATATCTGGAGTGTTTCCCCAGAGCTACACAAACAGGAGGACACTTAACTATAGGTTAGCATATTTATCAGTCAAATCAACAAACCTTCCCTATGAGGGGATTCAAAGAAGCAGAGACTTGCCCTATCGTCCTGAAGACCAAAAATCTCTTGCCTTCATTGTGACAGGATTTTTGGTGTTTTCTTACTATTACATATGTGGCCCCTTGTGCTTGTAGGATGGAACCTCTGCTAGAAAGAGCTGAATACTAAATTACAGCAAGTGAACCATTCATATTTTCCTCATCACTGCACCAGAAATTGCTTAGCAGCATTTGTAAGTGCTCATTCCCAATTTCAAGTGAATTAATGAAGGCATTTAGTCGAGGGAACATTGGTCGTGTTTAATTCACATGGACTTTAGAATACTCCAATGACAACTTGCTAAATCTGGAGGAGGTATGGCACAACACACACAAAATGGGCCATTCAAGAGAGGCATCTGGAAATTCTTCATGGGATCCAATGTGCATTACCCAGCAGCAAGTCTGAAGTTGTCAATATTAGCTGGTTGCATAAAGTCTATTCACCAGGGCAAATGAGAATAGTATCTTGCTCTTTTACATGCCTGATTTCTATTCCTTAAACTAGTCTAAATGCATGATTTCAATTCCTTAACTTAGTCAGGAATCCACTGCAAAAATAGAATTAATTATCATTACCATGTCACTTAGCATTTTTTGAACAGCTAAACAGATGCTCCCATATGTAATCTCAGTTAATATTTACAACTACCTTCTGAGGCAGGTATTATTATCCTCATTTTACAGATGCAAAAACTGAGACACTAACAATACCAGGATTTGAACCTAAACATATGTGACTCAATTTCCACTAATTTCTTTTGGCTTCTCCAGTAGAGACAGGAAAGAAGTTCATAGTCATTTCTCTGTTTGGTTTTTAACAGTGATTCTTCAGAGAGGTGATAACACCTGAGCATAGCACTAATAATGGTTTTAGAACAAGGAAAAAAAAGTTGGCAGAAAAGGAAAAAATCTGAGTTTGAAAAACGAAACCCCAAGGTATGGATTGGGGCAGTTGAACTGATACAAAATAGGAGAGAGAATATGCCAGATATTTTTAAGAATCAGTTGTAAATCCTGACATCCAAAAAAGCAGTTGTAACCATTTAATGACTTCTCTGAGAATACTGAGTCACAAACTTGTTTTCTAACATCTGCTCCAACAACAGCTTACCCTATGATCTTGGATCAGTTAACAATCAGTAAAATAAGAATAAATAAGAAAATGCATCTACCTCACAGAGATGTTTTGAAGAACAAATAATATTGCAACAACAACACTTGGGGCCTTATAAGAAAAGCCACTGCAGTCAATACAAGGCTAACTCCATCAGTGCAGAGGAATCATTCCTAAATGGAAAACAGAAAATCCCAGATAAATATGCCAGCTGATCTAGGGTTGGGGTCCTGAGGGGCTGTAGTTACCTTCTAAGAATCCAGAAATAGCTCCTAAATTATATAACTGAGAGTCATCCAGAGAATTCTGAAGGGTGATGACCAGACAAAACAGTGTTACAATGAATCATTCATGCACCCATCCATCCAAAAAATATCAATTGACTACCTTCTTTGGACTAGAACTGAAGAACTGAATTTTCCCTATTTCCTATGGGTTCAAGAATAAAGCTAGGCCAGCCCAGGCCCTATTCAGTGGGCCCTATCCCAGACAGCCATCTCCAGCCTGAGGCCCAGTGCTCAATGAAAGAGGAGACCCTAGGAAAGGGCAATCTAAAAATCCCCCCTCAAGCTTCAGACTACTGTGAAGTCTACCTCTCAGCTACATATAGTTCTTGCATTTCTTCCAGGTGGCCCTAAGGAGCACAGAAGCACAGAATTGTGCATATACACACACAAAGTTTCTGTACTGCTATACTAGATTATACCTACTTAAATGTGTTCCTTTGTATGATATGAAATCATATTTGTTTATTCTGCCTTTTATTAGACTGCAGTAGACAGCTCTACTCCCTAGGAAGAAACCTACTGTAAACCCATTCTGTGGTTGGTCCTCTTTGTGAGCACCTGCCAAGCTGGTAGAAAGCTTCCCGGTGACTCCATCTTAGTTGGATTGCGTGCAGAGCCTACACTGCACTTAGAGTGCCGCTTGGGGGCCTGTAAAGCAGCAGAGCAGGGTCTGGGACGTAGGGAGCATACTGAGGAAGGGTACTGTGTCCCCAAGGAAAGAGAGCTTAAAAATACCTAAGGTGCACACACACAAATATATAAATATATGAAAAGTAAAGCAAGAGCATATCCATTTATTTATCATCTAACACCACAGTACTACTGCCAGGACAAAAATGTAGTGGCATTTTCCCTCTACCCAGTCCCTCTGCCTTTGGTGGCTTCTGCTACATCACCTCCCCCACCCACCCACCCAATGCAGGCAACCTTGGATACTCATTTTGACCTTATTTAAATTCCATCTGGTCAAACATGTTGGGCAGAGGGGAAAGGAAAAAAAGAAACACATTAGAATTTGCCACTGGGGCTAGACCATGGCCCTTGAGTAGCAGCCACCCATTTCCACCCCAGGGGGATCCTGTGGTGAGGGAGACATGGAAAACACCAGCTCGATCCCTGAGACAGAAGCCAGAGCTGCCCGCTAACATTTTATGAGCATCTACAATTTGCCAGTCTCCATCCATTTACAGCTCATGTTGAGGGGCCCTGGAAGGCTCTGCAGTGGGCTCCAGGATTGCTGTGCATTCCTATCAATCTGTGGGGCTATTCCTCCTTGCCAGGGCCCAAAAGAGGAGTCTCTCTTGCCTTTTTTCTCTCTCCCTTCTTGTTCCTACCCTAAGCTCCTCTCGTTCTTTATCTTGAGAGCCCAGCAATGGGCTCCCTCTTATTACTGGCAGTATAGCACAAAAAAAAAAAAAAAAGTGAGAAGCAGGCTCCCTTCAGCTGGGGTGGGGAAATAAAGAGTCATAGTGATGGAAAGAGGCAAGAGACCAAAAGTGCTGGAAACATCCCCTGCCATCTCCTCGTACTCCACAGCAGAGGAACAAGTCCTCTTCAAGCCCAACTGGGAAGAACAGCCCAGCCCCCATGTTGCAGAGAAGATGTTTTGACCAGTCACCTTACATGATTTTAACTCTGCAGAGGGCCTGGCCCTGGGCATCCACAGGAGGCAAGGTGGAGATTATGGTCTATTACAGGAGAGAAAAGGCAGACTTTGCAGATTGTGCAGATTAGCACACAAAATAAAACAAAACAGCCAGCTCTACCTTGAGAAAAGGGGAGGAAGCAAGCTCTTGGTGACCTTTATTTGGGCCAAGACTGCTCTCCTCAAGGATAAAGACACGCCCAGTCTGCTAAGGGAATACCATCAGCTGTCCACCTGTGATGAGGAGTACCTTTCCTGCCCCTAAAAATTGTTCGTTCTAGTAGCTCATTCTCCCCCAGCCCTTTCCCTTCTTCCCCTTTGTTCTTCCTGAAGATAAATAAACTAAACTCTCCAGCTTGCTAAACACTTAGCTCCAAGGGAAGGAATCAGATTTGCAGACTGGTTGCCCCGACTTTGGGTGTGTTGAAAGAAGAGAAGGGTTCCTGCCAGTGACAGGTGTTACGCAGGTCTCAGCCTTCTGAATTAGTTGCGGGTGTGGTGTACTCGCGGGCAACCCCTCCCCCAACTGGCATTCAGTGGCTCCAGAACAGTTGCTCGGTGTGGCCCACAAATGAAATCGCTGTTGTCCAGCTGCTCCTTCCGAGCTGCAAAGTTATTGGGGAGACTGAAGGGTCTGGGTGGGGGTGGGGGTCAAGGAGATGGGACCGTGGCCTGGGAAGGAAAGAAGGGGAGAGGTATTCGCTATCCCTTGGGGGTGCGCTCCTCATCACCCGTTTGCTTCACTTACCATCTCATTGTAGGCATCCTTGCTGAGCCTGGGGGTCAACTTGATAGTCCCCATAAAAACAAAGAAGAGTCCCAGGGCCACCGAGAGGGCCACGACAGTTACGGTTCTGGGGGATGCCATGGAGTCACCAAGGCGGGTCCCAAACAATCCTCTGCTTTGCGCACCCTGTGTGTCTGTCTAAAGCGCTGGCAGTTATCGCAGAGATAGCGAGAGGGACGCTGCAGAGGCAGCAGGCAGCTAGAATGACAAAGGGAGAGGAGGGAGCTAGAGAGAAAAATTGAAAGATAGAGATTCTACCTCTCTCACTACAACATTCGCTGGGTCCTAATGCCCTACTCTAGCTCCTCACTGGCCAAAATCACAGTCTCCAAAGTTAGAAGAAGCCCTAAATTGAGATAGAAACTTCACGTCTTAAATGGGGAAAAGGTAGGTTAGGCTTCGAGCTCAGTCCCTGAGCCTCTAGCATGAAGATTAGGGAAGACATCATTTCTACCACTTCCCACCAGGCGCATTTTCCATCTCTGTAATCCTCTAATTATCAGTCCCTTTTTTCAACCTCTCTCATTTTCTCCCTCTTCCTGCCCTTCAATCAAATCTTTAGTCCTCAGAATTGCCCACTGGTTTAACTCCAGTGTTTTAAGCTTGGCATTCAAGACCCTCAGCTTATCTTCCAATAGCTCCTACTGCCACGTGCCACCCCCTCATCTCCTATCTACTCATGGCCTCTTACGACCTGAGCTATTCCACCTCCACTACATTCCTTTCCGTATTCCATCACTCTTCACTAATGTCCAACCTTTTCTTCAATGTCACCTCCTCCATAAAACCTTCCCTGATCCATTCCCAGCTGGATCTGAGTTCTTCCTCCTCTGATTTCCTGTAATAATAACCAATATTTATTGACCATTTATTAAATGCTAGACACAGCATTAGTTTACTTGTATTAACTAAGTTATCTTTACAGCAACACTGTGAGCTAGGTATGAGCTCCTATTTCAAGCATGGAACACTGAAGGACAGGGAAGTTAAATAAGTAACTTGCCCAAAAGTATACGCTAATAAATGGAAAGCCAGAATCCAAACCTAGGCAGTCATTTCCAGAGCCTGGGATCTTAACCGGCTCTTTGTATAATACTTTACATTATTAGTATGGTACTTACCTGATACTGCTTAGCATTGTGATTATACATATACACACACACAACATTTTTGAGAAGCAGTGTTCATTAAGGGAAAGAGAACAATCTGGAGTCAGACTCAGAAAGTGCAGGGTTTAAATCCCTACTCTGTCCTTAAATCTGTGAACTTGGATAAGTCCTTTATCTGAGCCTCCATTTCCACATTTATAAAATGTGGATGAAAATTCTGCCTCAAAGGTTTGTATAAGAATTCCATATAAGTCAATTGCCTTAACGGATGTAGTTCACTTCTTGCTCCTTCTGGCTTCCAAATCTACTTTGCAATTAGTTTATATTATAAACATTTAAAAGGTAGGAAATATATATATATAATCTCCCCATAGTACCTAGAGCAACACCTTTAGTGCATCAGACCTTAATAAATCTTTTTTGGGAAAAATTGATGAATTTAAATGCAAATATCCCTGAGAGTGGAATACTTTAAGATTAGCAATCATGTATATCTTATGGTGGAAGAATTTCAGACCATTTTCTAATTGTAATTCATCTTGTAAATTATTAAGTGCCTACAATGTGCATACGAAATATTAGAAACTGTAGGAATACATAGATAAATGAGTCATAGACTGTTCCCAATGTGCTTCTTGTAGAGAAGAAAATAGGGTTTATCAGAGAGGAGAGAATTTCTTTATACATACAAGAAAGACTGGAAAGAATAAACCAAAATGAAATGTTTGTTTTTATCATTTGTCTTCCAAATGTCCTACATTGACTGTTGCAGTAAAATGGGCACTTAAGGAAATCCATTTATATAGTTAAGTAACTGATCAAAATATAGTACATACTCTTTTCCCTTTCAAATTACATGATAATGGGAATGATACTATCCATTATAAAATGTGTGTAATACTGAATAATAAATAGTATAAGGAAAATAACTTTTGATCCCAACCTAAAGAGAGATAAACATTAATAATATTTTGGTCAATATTTTAAATTTTTTTAAAGATTTTATTTATTTATTTCTAGAGAGGGGAAGGGAAGTAGAGAGGGAAACATCAATGCATGGTTGCCTTTTGTGCACCCCCTACCAGGGACCCGGCCTGCAACCCAGGCATGTGCTCCAACCAGGAACTGAACTGGAGACCCCTTTGTTCACAGGCCAGCACTCAATCCACTGAACCACACCAGGCAGGGCTATTTTGGTCAATATTTTAATTGACCTTTTTCTTAAGTACCTCTCTACGTACAAAATAGATACAAATATTTTTTTCAAAATTTGATCTCACCATAGAATCAGTTTTATACCTTGCTTTTTTTTTTACTTGTTAGCACTTTTCTGTATCATTAGACTGTCTTCAAAAATAAAATCTTTTAAAATGATTGCATAATATTTCAGCATCATTTGCATGCACTATAATTCATGTAACTGTTCTCTTTTTGGTTAGATATTGATGTTGTTTCCATGATTGTTGCTTGTGCAAGTGAAGATCTGATGCATATCCTTGTATAATAATTTTTCTGAATTCCTGAATTTTTCCTTAGGGTAATTTTCTAGAAGTCAAATGGGTCCCAATTGCAAACTTCTCATTTCATACATATGAAATATATATTAAGAGCTAACATTTACTTATTACTAATAGGATGCCAGACACTATGCTCAGTGACTTGCATATATTGTAAGATTAGTACTGTTGATTCTTGCCATTTTATGCATGAGGAAATGGAGGAAATAATGAAGCAGGTCCCTGAATTCAGATCAGGGCTGTCCCCTTTTGGGGTATTCAACCTAAACCTGTGTTGTTGCTCAGTATGCTGTTGCTGTTCCTTTAGTTCACTTAAGAGATATGAATGTTTTAAAGGTTCTCTTTTAATTTTTTTAATTTTTATTTATTTGAGAGAGAGAGAGAAAGGGAAAACATCAATTTGTTGTTACATTTATTTATGCATTCATTGGTTGATGCTTGTATGTTCCCTGACTGGAGACTGATCCTACAACCTTGGTGTATTGATACAATGCTCTAACTAACTGAGCTGTGTGGCCAGGACATAAAAATTCTTTTAAATATTACTAAGATGTTTTCCAGAAAGGAAATTTATCCTCCCATCAGCAGTATAGAAGTGTGTGTACTTCACCACATCAGATCTGCATTGAGAATTTTAGTTTTTCATCTTCACCAATTTTATTCATTTAAAAATTTGTATTTCATGGAATATTAATGTGTTAAAACATTTTCATACATTTATTGTTATATGTATCTCCTCTGTTTATGTCTTTTTCTATTTTAATTTTGAGTATTGGTGTTTTTGGTTCTTTCAAAAGAGCTCTTTATATCATACTGACATCAATCATGTTTTAAATATTTGCCCCCATTTGTGTTTGCCAGTAAATTTGATGGAGTCAACTCTAGCAATACTTTTATGATGTTTTCCATATTTTTGTGCTTAGAAAGTTTTTCCTAATCTCAAGATTAAACCTTTGCCTACATTTTCTTAAAGCGGTTTTATGTGATTTTTTTTTACATTTAATACTAATGACTAATTCAGTCCTCATTGGTTCGTGATGCTTCCTTTATTGTATATCAAGTTCTTATCTTTTTAGTAGGTCAGTCTCAAGGTTTTCTTTTCTGTCCCACTGATTCCTTTGTTGATTCTTATGACAACAATATAATGTTTTAGATATTATAACTTATGTATGTATTTTAATGTTATAAACCAAGTCTCCCATTATTATTATTCTTTTTCAAAAATTATTTGCCATTCTCCCCTATTTGTTTATTTATTTATACTGCAGATATTTTTACATTTATTTATTTATTTATTTATGATTAATTAATTAATTTTTTCAAATACATTTGTCTCTGCCTATCCCCCACCACTTTCCCTTGCCCCCTCCCTCCCTCCCTCCCTCCCCCTTTGGATTTGTCCATGAGTCCTTGCTATATGTTCCTTGACTTTCCCCTTCCCTTCCTTTTCCTCTGCCCCCCCCCTCTTGTCTCTGTTGATTTCTTTACCTTTCAATGTTGCTGGTCTTATTTTCCTTGCATCTCTGTATTGTTGGTTAGGTTCCACTTCTAGGTGAGATCATATGGTATTTGTCTTTTGCCCCCTGGCTTATTTTGCTTAGCATAATGCTCTCCAGTTCCATCCATGCTGTCGCGAAGTTTAGTAGTTCTTTTTTTCTTTCTGCTGCATAGTATTCCATTGTGTAAATGTACCATGGTTTTTTGATGCAATCATCTACTGATGGGCATTTAGGTTGCTTCCAACACTTGGCTACTGCAAATTGGGCTGATATGAATGTTGGGGTGCAAAGGTTCTTTTGAATTGGCATTTTGGGATTCTAGGGTATAGTCCCAGCAGGGGAATCACTGGATCCAAAGGCAGTTCCATTTTCATGTTTTTGAGGAAATTCCACACTGTTTTCCACAGTGGCTGCACCAGTCTGCATTCCCACCAACAGTGTACTAGGGTTCCCTTTTCTCCACAGCCTCGCCAGCACCTGTTGTTTGTGGATCTGTTTATGATGGCCATTCTGACTGGTGTGAGGTGGTATCACATGGTGGTTTTGATCTGCAATTCTCTGATGGCTAGTGATGCTGAGCATTCTTTCAAATGTCTCTGGGCACTCTGTATCGCCTCCTTGTAAAAACGTCTGCCCAGGTCCTTTGCCCATTTTTTGATTGGATCATTTGTCTTCTTGGAGTGGAGTCAAGTGAGTTCTTTATATATCTTGGAGATCAAACCTCTATCTGATGTATCATTAGCGAATATATTTTCCCATATGGTGGGCTCCCTTTTCATTTTGCTGATGTTTTCTTTAACCGTGCAGAAGCTTCTTATTTTGATGAGGTCCCACTTGTTTATTCTTTCCTTTATGTCCCTTGCTATAGAAGACATATCAGTGAAAAAATTGCTGCGTGGGAAAGCTGAGAGTTTCCTGCCAATGTTCTCCTCTAGGACTTTCATGGTGTTGCAACTCATATTTAAGTCTTTTATCCATCTTGAGTTTATTTTTGTGTATGGTGTCAGCTGAGGATCCAATTTCAATTTTTTGCATGTAGCCGTCCAGCTCTCCCAACACCATT